TTATGTTTATCATTAGTGAGCTTCTCGTCTATTAACTACATAACAAGAGTAAGGAGTTCATTTGATACCGTTGTGTTGTAGGTGTCAATAAGGTGTAGGCAGGTTGAGGCGGTGTGGTGACAATGTTGTTTACACGGAGCCAGTCTGAAGCACGTAGCTCACACCCTCCAGGCTGGCGGGGGCGTGGGAGGAGGAGGAACATGTGTGGCGTGGGAAAGGTTACCCTGGCGGCGACGACGAGGCGTGGGCGTGAGTCAGGGCGCGGCACGTCCGGCACCCAGGGCGACCTCTCACACCCACCCACCCACCCGCCCGCCCGCCCGCCAGCCCTCCCTCCCTTCCTCGCTCTCCCTCACCTCATACCTGACGTGCTTGTGGTCAACTGCTTCACCTGCAGGAATCCGGAAGATACCACCATCACCCTGATACTCTTCACCAGTAACCTATGCCATCCCGGCCTCATCCTACCAGTACCCCACCACCACCATGGCTCATCCTACCAGTAAATCTACCAGTACTCCACCACCACCATGACCCATCCTACCAGTAAATCTACCAGTACCCCACCACCACGGCCCATCCTACCAGTAAATCTACCAGTACCCCACCACCACCACCATGGCCCATCCTGCCAGTAAATCAACCAACCCACCACCACCACATGACCCATCCTACCAGTAAATCCACAGTACCCCACCACCATGGCCCATCCTACCAGTAAATCTACCAGTTCCACCACCATGGCCCATCCTACCAGTAAATCAACCAGTACCCCACCACCACCATGGCCCATCCTACCAGTAAATCAACCAGTACCCCACCACCACCATGGCTCATCCTACCAGTAAATCTACCAGTACTCCACCACCACCACCATGACCCATCCTACCAGTAAATCTACCAGTACCCCACCACCACCATGGCCCATCCTACCAGTAAATCTACCAGTACCCCACCACTACCCTCACCACCACCACCATCCCCATCCTCCACGACGTAAGCTACATTGTTTATAAACTTCACTAAATACTGTTTAGGTAATGACCACAAACACCTCTCTCACCTACCACCACCAGCAGGTAATGTTATGTCAACTCAGTTCCTGTTTTTTAGCTACGTCGCCAACTCCTAACACTTTGTTGTTGGCTAAGCGACTCTCTCTCTCTCTCTCTGACGACGGATATATCATGTTCTTTACGCTGGTTCAACATTCTAGAAATACGGTTTGCTTGCTTAATATATGCAAAGATATCAAGTACTTTATTTTAGTGAATATCATCATCATTACAAACTCCAGCTGATGGCTCCTGTAAACACAAAAATGTGGAAAAAATAACTAGAAAATACTTGATATATATATACTGTATATATATACTTTTTTTTTTTAATTGACTGAGACAAGTAACATCGTCCATTCCTACTGGTCGTACCGTACTCAAGAATAGTCATGGGGTGTACGACTCCATTTACGATGACATTGCCCTGATCTTGTTTTAGGAATATACCACCTTTTTGAAGCTCTGGAGAGATCTCGAAGTTTCTATATTTTGAGTACAGTACTAGCTTATACTTCCCACCAGGAAATTTGCTTTGAGACTCCTCCATAGCTTCGAAAAGTGCAGAACTCCATGTGTTAAAGGCCCAATAAGAGATGGTAAAAATAAACATGGGACAAACGAGACAGTGGACACAGTGTTAACGAGACAGTAATCCTGACTTAAGACAAACAAGACTACGCTATGAATACATTATAATATCAAACCATTAATAACAATCACATAAGACTGAAATTATATTGGGTTACTATATGAATGTAGGCCGTACTGTATGTTACGTATATGTCTTTCTCTGTTATTAGTGTGTGTGTGTGTGTGTGTGTGTGTGTGTGTTAAATGGATCACGACCTCTTGTGTCTTTCCTTGATGTTGTGTTATATTGTGTTGTTGATGTTGAGTTGTTGTGTGGATGTTGTGTTGTCTCGTCTACCAAGTTCGTAGTATAAGGAAATAAAATAAAGTTAGGAATGAAGAGTAAGAGATAGAGTAGTAGGTATTGACATGCATCTGTGCTTAGTGGAGAAGAATTGTCTACACGGTGACTTTCTAAAAATCTCTCTTATTTTTCCCCTGCCGCTAATAATTTAGATTTGTAATTTGAAGCTTTGTTATGCTCATCTCCATTGCTTTCCTGGGTGTACAACAGTTAAGGTAGTGTCCCATCTTTTACTATATGTTGCGTTTTCTTTGATATTCCATCCTGGGTCCATTTTCTAAAGTGGTGAGCTGATTTATCATTTCACCACATACCAGCCCTCAAGCTGTTCGGTTTTTTTTTCTCATATCATCACTTGTCAGCTCACTAGCCGTTCGAGTGATTAGTCTATTCTTTGTTACTTTTTATGAACTTTATTGTCCAGTATTAGTACACAACCCTTCAGACAAGGCACAATAGGGCCGTTCTCAATGTTGGTGGTACAGTGGTAACGCACTTATTTCTCACGTCAAGGGTTCGAGCTAGTCGGAAGCAAATTCAGTCTATCGCTATACGGCACCATAATAAATTTCAGCCAATCAGCACAAGAACTGTCTCAGAGCGAGACGAAAAGAAAATGGGATTTTTTAATGGACTACTTTAACAAAATCATATCAATTCGCACATCCTCTAATGTACTTACAAACTCGAAACACACTATCAAGTTTCACGCAATACATAAGCGATGGACCTTCCATTGTCCACTTTTGACTCTGCTCTTCTGTACAATATCCTTTATGTGTGCGGAGGAGGTGCAGTTGTAGTGGATTTCTCCCCTACAAACGCTGTTTGTCGCTGCGTAGCCGACCCCACGAATTCCCCACTAATAAGCCACGCCAACCCTTGCTATTTAAGACCTGACCTCGTGGTGATCTCTCTCTTTCTACCTACACCAACCAGCCAGCAACACCTCCTCCTCCTCCGCCTGCCTGGCGGTCCTCGCTCCCGCCGGCGACCATGGCGACCCACAAGCTGTCCTCCTCTGAGCATTCTCACCAACCAGCTCTCTCTACATCATGCTTGTAACCACGCTGCCACTTCCCAGCACCAAGCTGCTTTGTGCATCCAATATAACATGTATACAGAGAGCACATTGTGAGTTTCCTTTCTCCATCCCATCCTGAGTGTGAACCAAACTACCGTACCCCACACAGTCTCTTACTCTTCGTGACATTGAATCTTAACAGCCATTTCTTCGACCACTCTTGAAGCTCACGGAGATCCTTCTGTAACTTTTCACAGTCTGCTTGGGTCTTAATTTCCCTAAATAACTTTGCATCATCCGCAAATATTTGTATGGAGGAATGTACAGTAGGGTGTGTCATTTATGAAATTAACAAACAACAACGAGCCCAGTACACTGCCCTGTAGTACCCAGCTTGTCACGGGTACACATGATGATTTCGTGCCATTAATCACCACACACTGCTTCCGATCAGCCTTTCATGGGGTATGCTGTCGAAAATCGTGGCAAAATCTAGATACATATATCGTCGATAATACCACCCAGATCCAGAATTTGAGTCCAAACATCCAGCACCTTCAGTAATTGTGTCATGCAGAAACGTCCTAGCATAAAACCACGTTGGCAGTCCTTTACAAGGTTGTTTCGTAGTAGATGTTCCGTCATGGCATCTCTTACAATGCTCTCTAGTACTTTATAGGCGTCTGAGAGACCAGTATCTCCCACACCAGTACTTCCCTGTGAGTCTCACGGAAAGAGAGAAAGTTCCTCTCCCTGGATTTTTTCAATCGGGTTTAACTGACCACGATACAGTATATACAGTTCAGTATTGCGAGGGAAAATTTATCACGTGTAAATGACCCACAATTGGAGTAAAAGGTTATTATGACAATTTTACTGAAAGAAAAAGAAAACATGGTAAAATTGTTCGTTCACACAACCATGGAATCTTAGGAGTTTTATCTTTGCAATCAATAGTTTAAACAATTTTAAAACACTTTTCATCAATGACGTTTCCTTCGCAAATGACATGCTACCGTTTTTTTTGTTTTTGTTTTTTGCGGAATCGATTATTTTGCAAAATGACTGGCATGTGTATTGGTAATTTTGCAAAATAACTTACAAACAGACAACCTAAACTAACCTAACCTCATGGTTGAATAACGTTAGGCTAGGTTAGGATGGCTCGTGTAGCTTGATACACAGTTAAGTGGTCCTGTTCCCTTTTTTATAACTTTGAACTATGTGGTGTGCTAACCAAAAGGTTAGGTTAGTATAGGTTGTCTGTTTGTAAGTTATTTTGCAAAATTACCAATACGCATGCCGGTCATTTTGCAAAATAATCGATTCCGCAAAAAACAAAAAAAAACAAAAACGGTAGCATGTCATTTGCGAAGGAAACGTCATTGATGAAAAGTGTTTTAAAATTGTTTAAACTATTGATTGCAAAGATAAAACTCCTAAGATTCCATGGTTGTGTGAAAGTAAAACAATAAAAAAACATAATTATTATTATTATTATTATTATTATTATTATTATTATTATTATTATTATTATTATTATTATTATTATTATTATTATTATTATTATTATTATTATTATTATTATTATTATTATTATACTCCACAATTACCTCATGTAGTAAGTCAATACACATCACCTGTGCATTGTATATATTAGTGGTACAGGTTGTAAGCTACCCAAACTTTGGCGGTTGTTAACTTTTTTCACCTCAAGTTGTGCTTGACTGGAGGATGTTATTACTTGGTGGGTAATTATTTAAATAAAGAAAAGGTGATTAGTTGAACCTCATTATTGAAACCTTCTGAATTCAAATTCTTTTTGTTGAAGTTATTGAAATTTTATGTCAACATAATAATAATTTTGAATTCATTTCAACATGACATATAATGTTGGTCACTTTAAATTTTACAAGCTCTAGACAAGGGTCCTTATAGCGAGGTACAAGGTATTGATCAACTGGGAACACAGCTTTCGTAAGTCCCTGTGTAGTCTGCTAACACGTGGACCTGTGAGATGCTGTGCCAACACTTAGTGCTGGGGGCTCGCAAAACTGTGAATGTAGGAAAAAATATAAGACAACTTTGTCAAACGTTAATAGAGCAACATGCAGTATTAATGCGAGGGTTGAGGAGCGCACCTGAGTTCTCGGCCGCGTGGTGCACCAAGAGCTCCTCCCTCTACCCAGCCACCACCCACCACAGCCGAGGGAGGCGCACCACAGTCATGTCCACGCACAAACTTGACGATACAAACAAAACGGCAAATGGAGTTACCAATGGCTTTAGTCCCAAGACACCATTCTTGATTGGCGTGGCAGGGGGCACCGCCTCAGGGAAGGTAAGAAACTGTAACCAGCTGTAATGAAGGTTAATAGAGAGAGTGTAAACAAAGTGATGGTTGGGCGGCCTGAACTGAAGGATGGTTTGGGTCACACTGTCAGGGCCATACCCAGTACTCCCTTCAGAAGGAACAAGATGTCAGTTTGAACTAATTAGATTACGTGGATGTCGTAGGCTAAATGGGTAGAATATAAATTCACTATAGAGTAAATCATTAAAGCAGTAGCCAGCAGGTAACGGTGAGTGTATTTTGAGGATATTTTTTTTAGAAAGAAAAGTTTCTTTTGAGGTCCACCAGCCAGGAAATTATTATACTAGTCAAGGTTTGCTCAGCATTTTCAAGGTAAAGAATAGTTTTATGCCCAAATGGGAATTCTATAACTAAATTTGATTTTTTTTTTGTTAGTTGTGATTTGAACGAAAATGACCTTTAATTTTGTGTCTAATGCAGATTTAATGAGATATTACTCCTTCCAATGTGGGCAGGGCTATGAAGATGAGTGAAAATGCGGGGTTAAAACACACAAAGAAGTTAAACAAATAATTGAAAATTTGGTAAAAAATTATTTTAGGACCGCCCACGACTTTTTGGACATAATTTTGTTTGAATGGATTTCCCTTTATTTCTTGGGCTAATTGACTACTGTATGAGGGTGCTACAACTCATCTCATATTGAGTCAACTTGAACTAAAAAAAAGAGGGTGAAATTCATAAAAACCTTACCAACCTAACGTAGAAAGCTGGTTTCTTTTTTTTTTTTTACCTTAAATCACAGAAGATTCAAGAAGTATCCCAGATGATATTTGGATCTTGATTGTTGCTAGTTTGGCAGACAACTGTGGTCTCACTTTTCTCAATATTTGTTACTTAATGCAATGGAGATAGTCGTTTTTGGAGAAATATCCGACTAAAATGAGTAAGAACAAATATTTCATGAAAAATGTAGGTCTTACCATAGCATCAAGCAGGCAGCTGTCTGTTCACCATCGAGGTACTATAGCAGGTTCAGAACAATGGCAACAAGGCTCTCTTTCCTGGCTGTTCTCCGGTGAAATAAGAGAAATATCACTGAGCTCAGATTCCTGCCTAATAAAAAAGCACATTTTGGTTCGATGTAAGAGTGTGTGGTGTACTCGGCCCATCTTAAATAACCAACTCGGCCCACCTTGCACACTTCAAACAAGTAGCTGACTTGAGGTTCAGGAATGAGTTTGAGATCTGATTTATGTGAGTGAATGAATACCAAGGGTTCAATCGATATGAAGGACGAATTTTATGAGTATGTTAGTCGAAGGAGTTCCTGTCTGTCACTTAATGTTGGTGTTAGATTACAGGATCAGTCACATTCTGAGTCCTGACCAATGCTTGGTATGCATAGCCCACCTTGCATACTTCATACAAGTAGCTGACTAGAGGTTCAGGAATGACACCTGGGCCCAATCTGCTTGGAGTGTATTTAAAAGGAGTGTCCGCACAAATAATGACTGTGAAGGGTGGCATAATCGCCTTAACTTGAAAGCAACAAAAGGACAACTTAACTTCTATCTGGTAATCAAGTTACTCCATAATGAAGCAAAACTAGTGGCACTTCAGGTGCGGCTCTTGTCTGACAGTAATGTGCTATGAAAACAACGGGTCAAGTATGTTCTGTACATTACCAAGGACAGCTATTCAAACTGTGGGACAAATTCAGAAGTGGACGAAGATTTGCTAAAAATTTGCTATGCGCCATTTCACAGCACGTAACTGTTTATCAGTAATGTTTGTACTTTTAAGCTGCTTTTTATCATTGTACTTTTGTACTTTTATCATTCATGCAAAAATGAATGTGTAAAATGTGTTCGTTAACCCAAGTGGTCCGATTTGATAATCCGACATGGTTCGAGTAGGATGTGGACCGAGTTGGACTGTATTCAGAGTGTGTACAATTAATACAGTGATCCCTCAGTTAACGAGCGCCTCGGTTAACGAAATTTCGGTTAACGAATTACCTTCCATAAGATTCTTCACTTCGGTTAACGAACAAACCCTCGGTTAACGAATTCCTTACGAATTTTTCCCAACATGTTTTCGCCTGCATTTGCCTGCCTACCAGCTGTAGTATTAGTCAGCCAATACAGTAATCAGTTTTAGGGCTTAAATTCCTTACCATTTTAGTAAATATCAAGAAGGTTGTACGATTCAATAATTTTAAAAGTTTTATATTAAATTTTTTAGTAATTTTAACAATTATTGAACATAATTGAAGTACAAGAAATTATTTTTTTGCGCGCCAAACAGCCACTCAACACACCAAGCTTGGCGTCAGTTTGTTTACCAGTTCAGAAGAAGGAACATCTTGTTTGAGACTTGCACATAAATGCTTTTTTTCTGTGTTTCCAGTCAAATTATTGTCATTTTGAAATATATTTTACATATTGATAATATATAGCACAGTGCAGTGTTGATTTAAAGAAAATAATCTAGAATTACACCAAGTGAACTAAAATTTTATGGGTGAAATGGCAGCATGGGGTGACTTCTCTTCCACCCCAATGCCTTCTCTTCTCACCTTCTCCACCCCCATTCTAATTCCCATCATCATCATCAACCAGGAGCCTTCTACATGCACACCTCAAAGTAAGTGTACTTTACTGCATTTATTTTTAGTTTGTATGTACTTTTCGGTGAGCTGGAACCAATTATACAAAAACCCATTGAAACAATGGTTTCGGTTAACGAATTTTTCGGTTAACGAACAACCTTCTGGAACGAATTGTGCTCGTTAACCGAGAGACCACTGTATAGGACAGTACAGTACTAGATATTTTATAGATGGTGAAATCTTATGCAGTATTTCTGTTGAAACTTATTTGTGTGTTAAGTTGTGTATATTTACAATACTGTATTTATTTTTTTCTACAGTATTATTATTTTTGAAAAATATGACTTTTATTCATTATGGTGTCACTCTTGTCCACTTACTATGAAAATGTTGGGACAGTAATGAATGTAAGGTGACAATCTGAGATACAATACTGTAGTGTACTTACCAATGAGTTTAACATATCTCTAAGTTAGGTTATGTAGTTTAGATTTGTATTTTAATTATTTTAGTTGCTTTATAGGAGTGTAACCTCAGTCTTTTGTTTTGTGTTCACCATCAGTGGCACTAAATCTGACTATTTTACACACATCTATGTTTTTGTACCTACTCATTAGTGCCGGTTGAATTTTTTTTTATCAGTATTTAATATGCAGACATTGGTAGATTTTGTTTGTTGTTTTGGGGATTTTATTAACAATGCCCAGTTACTTTTCCACAGTTGTGACACTTGATCAATGAACTATGAAATACAGTAAATTCAAGGAACAAATGTTCTAAAAGCTAAATTCCATATTCAGGATTACATTAGGGTGACCTATTTAACATTCATGAGTACTTTTAAATATACTTATTCGTGAAAGGTCTTGGTGACAAAAAATTAACAATGCAGAGGATTCTTGAACGTTACCTAGGAGATAAGGGTAATCTTAATGGTTAATTTCTTGAGAAACCATGTACAGGGGGTCTTCATACGTCATGGATGTGTTCCAGTGAAACGCATCTTATACCGAAACATTTTATTATAAGGAATTTTTCCCCATAAGAATTAATGTAATAGGGGTACAGTATATGCATTACAACATGGACAGTTAATTAAAAAATTATCCTTACAAAATCGACTGTGCAGTAATACCCCATGAAAGCTGATAATCATTGAACTACACGATCATGGGCACGTGTGATCACCATGGAACAAAACTTGGGACTGTAATGCACCGGGTGGCCGCGAGAGATGCATTTCATACTCCGCACATCAGCGATCTTGGTTGGACGATGACCATCATTCATTCGAAAAAAAATGATCATAAATAGATAAGGAGATTCTAAATCAGGGAATACCTGCACTGTCGTTATAAAGGCATAGTGGGCGGAGCTTGGTAGAGATGTCCTCTCAGTCCAGCCAGCACTCCCTTCCTCCTCCCCTGCCACCCTGCACTTCCTCTCCCCAGCTATTCACGCAGACTTTTTTTTTTTTTTTTTTTACTCCATTTCTTTACATGCAAGCCCTCCAATTTATAAGAACTGAGTAAGGTTGTCTAAACTATTTTTTTCCTGTTGGAACACTTGTGTGATTGAAGTAGTAGACCCTTGCCATTCGCGAGTTTGCAATTCGCGCTTTCGACGATTCGCGGTAAGCAGATGGTGGCTAGCTTGGAAGCCTTTTCCCGCAGCACAAGAAGTCTCCCCACGCAGCATCTCGTGTTGTACTCACAAAACTTTGGTGTTTCTGTGTGAAATGGCCCCTAAAAGACTGCTAGTGGAGTGAAATGTAAAAGGCAGAAGTCAGTGATGACCCTGACAAAGAAAGTTTTACTATTAGATAAGTTAAAAGAGGGGATGAGTGCTGCCGTGACTGGTCAGTTGTTTGGTACAGTATAAGTATACAGTCGTGCACTATGGTAGTACAAGTTGCTATTTTTGGTTTTGTCAATTCGCGCCATTTCTTCGAACCTATCCCTCACGAATGGCAAGGGTCTACTGTATACAGTACTGTAGTCTGGCGAGTCATAGTGTGTTGCCAAACTACCTGCTACTCTCAGATACACTCCATCTACCACACACAATATACCCCTACTCTCTTATTTATTTATTTATCTGTATATTACTGTACAGTATACAATAAATTCTTTATTCATAAGGCACACAAGCACATTGAGATGACTTCTGCAAATTATGTGGTTACTTATGTATAAAAATGGCATTAGCTTGCAGTTGTGTCAGGGAGACTGGTGTATTTTGGCGTGATAGACACTTAACACTTATAAGGCACTGTTATTACTTAGATATTAGTTATTTTTTCATTATAGTATTCGTTTTTAACACTATTTATGCATCATATTTGGATACACACAGACTTAGTATAGAACAGTGAGTGATGCAGACAACTTACAGTACAGTATATGTGAAGCAAATGACATAATGAAAATTTCTTCCTGTATTTGTTAGCGATGTATATGTGAAATGACGTATATTGGTACAACGTATAACGAGGACCCCCTGTACATGAACATCCATCCCTTCTACATCCTGTGGTAAATATAAAAATTCAGACTGGTCTTTTTTTTTTCTTTTTCTTTTAAAGACCTGCAGAATGAAGAAAATTATTTCTTATTGTCCATGATAATTGGCTTACTCTTAATGCACTTAGGTGATTTGGGGAACTTTTTCTTAGTCCACAGTATGCAAGCGAATTATGGAGAGGTTAGGCCAGGATGACATTGAACATTCCCAGCGTCGTGTGGTTTGCATTTCTCAGGATGCATTTTATCGTCCACTGAACGCAGAAGAAAGTTCAAAGGCCCTCAAGGTTTGTTGCATGCTCACTTGGTCATGTTTTAAAGTTATAGTGTAAAAGAATTTAACTCTTAGTAATTTATATACTGAACTATACTACAGTAGTTCTGCTTCAGTCAGCAGCAGTCTTTGCCTACATAGATAAAGATTAGTGAATATAGTAATTATCAAATATTTTTTGTTATTGACACTTTATAATCTTGTATGAGGTTTAGTTTATCGTAATTTATTACATTTGACCTTGACCGACAAATTCTTCTTGCAGGGCATCTTCAATTTTGATCATCCTGATGCATTTGACAATGAGCTTATTTTGAAAACACTTCGTCAAATTCTGGATGGCAAAATCTGCAAAATTCCAAATTATGATTATGTGACAAACTCAAGGTATGCTTTTAGTTGTAGTACAATATATTTAAGTAATCCTATCTTATCATAGGCTCCTTTACATTATTCTGTACACGTACAGTCAGTTCTGCTATAACGCAATAGTTGTGTTCTTGTAAAACATCGTGTTATAGAAATTCGCGTAATAGAAATAACAGAGCTTATGGAGAAAATAGGGTTAGGTGCAGATTACTACTCGAAATCGAAAAAAATTTAGTAGTTAGCCTAACACAAAGGATAGCACAGTCTAAATAAATGTTACATTCATATCCAATAATGAAATCATAATGTAAATGTAACACTTTACCTTGAAAAAATATGAATATAACTTGATGGGGGTGATTTTGAGGTTTATAACATCGAGCTTCTCTTCAAGGGTTATAGCCTTTCTTTTACGATCATCACCGGGAATGCGATCACCAGAACGCTTCTTGGAGATATTCTTCTTTACCATATTCACAGTAAATACCACAAAATTGGAGAAATAGTGAGCAAAAATCGCGTTACAGCAAACAAGCGTTCGCGTTGTACAAATATCGTTCCTCTATTCATAAATCGCGTTAGAGCCAATTCGCGTTGTCAAAACACGCGTTATAGCAGAACTCACTGTATACAGTATACATGTACCGTACAGTACTGCATATATATGTGTACAGGTGCTCCTCAACTTAACCCTTAAGTCCTGGGTTAGGGTCATGTGGCAGTAACACCCCCCCCCCCCGTTAAATCATGAAAAAAATCAACTTATCCAAGAATAGTAAAAAATAAATAAATAAATTGCGGGAAAATAGGCGGACGTTCTAGAACGTCACCCGGGGCCTAAGGGTTAAGAATGTTCAACTTACAAACATCATCACTGAGGGGATTTACTGTACCTGCCAGAACAGGTGTTTAATGTGGATGAGACTGGATTATTTTGAAAAAAATTCCAGATAGAACAAACATTACCTAAGAGAAGAGTGAGCCAGGTTTTAAGGCTGTATTAAAGGGTATAGCTGTACAAAATATTCATAATCTTTTAATTTTTTACAATCTGTTTGGTATCTACAAGAGTAAAGTTGGATTTACAAAGAAGCCTCAGGAACGTAACTTGTTCGTAAGTAGAGGAGCACCTGTATACATAGGTAGTACATGTATATTATCCATACCTAGGAATATGCTTCTATTTTTATTTGAATATTTTTATCATCAGATATAAGAGACCAGCATTGCACTATATGACTGATAGAAAATGGACAGATGCCAAGAACATGTTATAGCAAGGCACAAAGTTTACTTTATAATCAGAATAAAATTGTTAGCTTGGGTAATAGATGTGAAATAGTCAGAGGGATTTTTAGAGATTGACTAAGGGATGTTAGTAATTAAATTATTATTAAGACAGAACTAAAGGTGAAACCAGTGAATAGGGAAGGACGGTATTGAAAATTATTTAGGTTTATCTGAGAAATATTGATGTAGTTAACTTTGTGTAACCAGTAAGTGTTTAGAGGTGAAACGATGAGGCCTCAGTGTCTTGACTTACTTAACTAGGATCTAAAATCAAATGTATTAAATAATTAAATTGTTTTTCACCCATAAAATGGATTCTGCAAGAAGGCTTGGTATGAATGTACCCGTATCCTAGAAAGGGAGAAGTTTAAGGGAAATAGAAAATAACAATTAATACAGTATAATATATTTCTACATTTAAGGAATATAATTTTTTTTTTTTTTATGCGGAATAGCCCACCTGGGCACAGGACATCGACCCACAAAGGGGCCTGGAGAAAGAGTACAATACTGTATGTTAATCTACACTACAAAGATGCCGGAAAATCGGCTTTTTGAAGCGAGAGATTGTATGAGGATGGAAACACAGAAGAAGACAAAGTATTCCACAGTTCAGCTGTGTGAGGAAAGAAGGATGTACACTATTATTACAGATTATTCTGGTGTGACCAACATCCACACAGAAGCGGTGAGCACCGCGGGCAAGACGAGTGGTACTACCGCCTGGGAAGATATTGGAAGCATAATGTGTTGTCTAATGGTAAACCCTGCTGCCATATGGCATCACAAAAATTGTGACCGAGTCCGAGGTTGCTGATCTGACTTTCTGTCTCATTTACACACAGTTGCAGGGTCTCAATTGTTTCTCTTAATTTGACAACACAACATACATACAGTACATCGTTTCTTACTATTGATCTTTTTTCTTTTTTATATTTTATTATTATTTATTTTTTTAATTTTTATTTTTTTTACTAGATTTTGTTAGTTATTGTTGTTGTTGTTGTTATTATTATTATTATTATTATTATTATTATTACTACTACTACTACTACTACTACTACTACTACTACTTTTTTTTTTTATCATTAAAAACGTGGCCTCCAGCCTCCCCCAATAGCCACACCTTCGCCACCATTTATTTACTTTAATATTAAATATCCTAATACATAAGAAACTATCCTATCTGTGTTAAATTAGTTGAGCCGCAGATCCATGCGGCATTCAGTGACTGTAGCCTCATAGTTGATATCTGCAGCAGTTGTCGGAGTAGGGGCAGAAGCTCTCGTTCCCCTGAGGCAGAGCAAAGCCGACCGAAGGAGAGAGAAGGACAGTCGACATCTCATCCAGGCTGTGACATAACTTCTGGGCTGCTGCTTCTGTTCGGAGATCAGCTCCGCGAGTCTGGCGTAGAAACATCTTGCGCTTGGGCCCATCCCACCAGAGGTTGTGAACACTAGCGGAGTGAAGCTGCCTTGATCGACACTTTGAATTCTCTCCCCATATGCCCTTCTCTTGTCGTTCTCGTTCCTCCTATGTGCAGCATCGAGAGCTAGGTTACGGTGACAAACGGCCATGGGATCAAAAATCCTGATGTCGAAGAAGGCTCGCTGTCCCCGCGTCCAGAATCCTCGAGCACTGACGTCCACACGGGCTTCGTTAGATGTGTTTGAAGTCCTGTGTTGGAGGATCTCGCCATCCAGTGGAAGGAGGGTCGGTTCTACCATGACGTCCCGGCAGGTTTCCTTCAACATATTTGCTGTGAGATCCCTTACCTCGTCATGCCTCATGCATATGAAGCCCCCCTTCTTGCAAACCATGGCGTGATCGCCATCATAGGAATAGCCACACACGCATTGGGAGGGCAAACCATCTACTGGCCAACCGTACCTTAGAGCAATGGCATCTGTAAATTCTTGTTTGTTAAGGCTGAAACCATTTGCCCTTATCGGTAACGTAGTTAACCAGTTCGAGGCGCCCACCTCCTGCGCTATAGCAACTTTTTTTGTCAAATTTTCTGGAACCAGCAGCAATAGTTGCTGCAACATGTCATTTTGGCAGTGCTGCCGATCTGTTGTAATGGACCTACGGATCTTATTAACTTCGCTGGTGTCCACTTCCCCTACTACTACTACTACTACTACAATTTTGCCCTCCAGGCCCTGATGTGGGTCATTGACCTGTGCGCGGGTGGGCTAATCCCCATTTAAAAAAAATTAATGATAAAATAAAAACAATTAAATCACTTATAGGTTCTGTTTGATGTGAATGAATTTCTTGTATTTGAGGTTTAGAGTGTAACCCACGTGTATATGGAGGTTCGACTGTCTGTCAGTATATTCAATGAGATTTCCATGAAAATTTTAATTATAAGTTTGAAGCCAGTTGGGGAATTTGATAAAACAATACTTATCAAAATATTGAAATGTATCTCTCCAGGTTAGAGAGTACGACTACCATATACCCTGCTGATGTAGTGCTATTTGAGGGCATCTTGATGTTCTACCAACCTGAGATCCGAGGACTCTTTCATATGAAGCTCTTTGTTGACTCTGACGCTGATACAAGACTGGCCAGAAGAGGTAATACTTCGCTGGTGAATGTGATGTTTTATATTGTTTATTTTATCTATATTTTAAGAGAGTTATTAGAACCACAATTGCAATAACTAAAGATTAATATCCAACTAAAACTGTTTATGAAAAGTCAATTTATGTATCAATCCAGTGTAGTAATTGGCTCAACTATTTTCCTTTTATAATTAATGGTTTTGTGTCAGCAGATTCATGTCCTCTTATTAATAATTCCCTCACTGCGTTGGTGTTTTAATGAACCTTTCTGCACATTTCCTACCACACCAAATCTGAATGAGGGACATCATGAAGTAGGTAATGCTATGCTCTCATGTCCCATCAAGACTTGTTGGAATCCCTGGGTAGCATGGTTACTGGAAAGCTTTTCATTGTAATGTAAAGGCCCTGAAGTAAGCTAACCTTAGCTGCGTCAGTATAAAAGTGAGAGATAGTTTAATAGTTATCATATTTATAAGTTGATGGCTGGGGGTAATCTGACAATTGACTCATCTCCTCCACATCAGCCCCATCCCTTAAAAAAGGTGTCTGAGAAGCTTAGTTTGTTCATAAAGGCTTGAAACTATGTATCATGAGCTCACACATCACATGCACTAACAATTCATCACTTGTCCAGCTCATCCATCCTGCAAGAAGAGGATTCAATCCACGCAATTATCTATGACCTGGGAACAGCATCTCACCCTCACTTTGCTTATTTAAGGAGCAGCTAATTGCATTTGGCCTATTATTTATTTACCTTGGGGAATTCTGCAGTAGACTACAGTGGTCTAGGTGTTTTCAGAGGTAAAAAGTGACTTAGCATTTGTTTTGCTAGTGATTTATGTTCATTAATGGGTGTAGTGGCCAATTTATTAAAGCACAACTCACCTATTTTAAGGGTTGCTACTCATTCCTGGTGTACTCCCAATCCATGTTGTTGTAAATGGATACCAAATTTTACAGTTGGATAAGCGGAGGCATTCAAATACAATGTCAGACATGCTGTCTCCTTATGTACTAAAGTGCTGGTGTGCAAAGTGCTATATCCACACAGCTCCTTGGACTAAAACAAGTGGGATCAGATTTATCTGTTCCTTCCTCTCTCTCGCATATTTTAAGTTGTCATGAAACATTATTTTAGAAGGAGGATTCCAATCTGTGTTGAGCTTCTTGGTTTTCATTGTCAGCATTGTCTGGCATCAACTGGTACTTTGTTCATTTTTTGTAGATGCTCTAAGGGTATCTTTGCTAGGGGACATTATGCTCCCTTTCCTGAGGCCAACAAGACTTTGAGGGGCTGTGTTTCCATCAGTGTCTTGGACAACATTGGTGGGTGACAAACTGAAGGTGTATAAGGTCACTATCTGTGTAGCTTCTTTGCCATTCACACTCTTTACCAGCTGGTTCATGTATTCACAAGGTGTCGTTGACCGGGGTCTAGTTATAACTGAGGGATTAAACCTGAAACTCCATCTTATGACAGAGCCTGAAAGGAATAACTTATTTCCCAGCCTCATCTCTGGGGATCTTCATTGGAGGTTGGCAGATTGTCAGGGTTGATCCTGCTTCCCTCTCAGTTGCAGAACCTGACAAGTGAATAAAGATCAGGTAGTGCATGTGTTGTACAAACTCATGACTCATTACTGTAGCTCTCCATCTTTCTTGGATAACCTTGTTTCTCAGACTCCTTTTAAGTAATAGACCTTACATGGTGGAGATAGTCTGATTAACCTCAGTTGCTTTAGTTTATGGCTTTTCTGTGTTATAGACCCACAGGCTCTGCTACAAAATGGAATGTCAAGACCAGTTTCTCATTGTTAGTTACTCAGTCATTTGCTTGGCTGAGCTTATGTTAAGGCAATTTTTTTTCTTTTCTTTTCTTAGAATAGTTTGGATCTGAAAGCCAATAGTGAACTCTGAGATCCAAAATCTATCTTGGCCATAAATCATCTTTAAAAGGTGATGAAACCTTAATTATCTAACACTTGTCAGGATTATACACGTCTGTAAACTTGAGTTTTGTTACTTTTAAATATAGGTCTCTTACTTTTGTTATGTTTCAGGGTTTAGGAGTGGTTTTCAGACCCAGGCTACTCTGTAAACACAAATCACTGGCCATAGCTCATGTCATCGTTATCCACTGTCTGTCTAGCTTATAAGATTTAATTTTGTTTCTGCTCTGTAATGTGAATGTTTTATTGTCAACTATCTAGTTGGGGGCCATCTTGAATTTACCTTTACAGTCCAAGCAATGTAAAAAATTATGGTATTGACAGGGAGAAACAGCATGGTTAAGGAGAACTGGCAGTTTGAATTCATAAAGTGCCAATTAGATTTAACTTACTCATTTATAAAGTTTCAATATGAAGACTTACATCTTTCTTATTTATTTTGTCCTGTCATTAACTTGTAATTGTGAAGGACAAGTAGGTTTAAACTTATAAACTTTACTGGATGGATTTATCACAGGTGGTTTAGAGAGCTAATTGACTTTGGGGTTGGGGAAGATGTGCACAAATCCTGTGAGGTTCTTCAAGGATGTAATCCATGAGTAAATGGAGGACTCACTCTGGGGTTGCATTAGCATGATGCAACATTCAATGGTAATCTTGACTTGCCACACATGCAGCCACTCTCCACACTGAGACATCAACAATACACACAGCTACTCTATACACCTATATTGTCAGAACATATAAATTGCTAATAATTCTTTAACATGGTTTTGGTAGTCTGCATGCAAACAGGTTGTGCATCTTCAGCTGCCATCTCATGTTGCTCGTGTAATTAATCTGGCTGGGTCAGTTTTTCATTCATTAATTATTCTCTGAGAATTGAGTAACTAAACCACGTCAGTTGCAGTTGGGGCAGAACAAAATACCATAGTAGAGATGTAAAGAAACTTTGTTCAAGACATCCAGTCTATCAGTCATGTTAAACTCCAAAAGGATCATGTTTTCTGAAAGATCTTCTCTAACTGATGAATATTGTACAGTATTGTTAAAATGGAATTAGGTTATGTGAAGGCATATTACTAAGGAATGCTTGTGCTGTACTGTACAGGAAAATTAAAACCTCAAACAATATTGTATTGATACAGACTGTTTTACTGAGCTAATTTCGTCCTAAACAACTTTTGTCAGATAAATATATTGCAATGAACATTGAACAATTTTTAAATGCCTGGTAAAACGGAGTTCTCATACTATATTGACTGATAATGTGAAGTTTTATTTAACTGTACACAGAAGCACAACAGATGATGATCTCATTTTCAGTGATGCGTGACACAAGGGAGCGTGGCAGAAATCTAGAACTAGTGCTTCATCAGTACACAAATCTGGTCAAACCAGCTTTTGAAGAGTTTTGTTTACCTGTGAGTACCTGGTGCATGATTGTGTTTTGTAAAGACTTACTGTACATACATAAATCTTATACATAAGCATGTACTATGTTGTAATTGAAGCATTTTATTTTTAAAGACTAGAATAGGACCAGTAATATTTAGTAAAATTAGTTTTATGTCAGATACATGCAAATGGATCTTAGATATACCTTAGCCTAATTGACTTCATAGCGCTAGAAAAATCAAACATGTACAGTACAGTATCTAGGTAGTTATGATAGTCTCTTCTGAGGCTGGTTTGTACTGTAACATTGTCTGGTCAAATGGCCACATATGCAGCTGTACCTTCTAGATTTTTGGTGAAATCTTTCAGTCAGGTGGCATTTCTAGGTTTATCTGGGATTTATATTTGCATATTAATGGGACAAATGTTTCTTAAAAGAATGAGCTTATTTCATTTAACAAAACCCTTTGAAAATTATTTCATTACAGCAAATTTAGTTGTATTAATGACCCTTCCAAAGAAAATTGAATCGGCTGATAATATTTTTTTTATTCAACACAAGTGTGGATTACAGTGTTGTGAAAAAGGTGTATTTAAGCATTTTAAGATATATCTTTTGGTTTTATAAAGATTAATTGAGGAAGTTTCAATATTTCAGGCTGTAAAACATTTCTTCCTTGCAAAAACAAAATAATTCTATCCAACTCTATTGCTGAGTACTGTACCAAATCTGCTTCCTATATCACTGTACTGTATTAGTGATCTTTGTGGTACAGTAACTATTTTCTTCTGGGGTGAATTCACAGTACAGTATAATAAGTCCATTAACATCTCACTAAGTTGTCAGGAAACCCTTTTCAAAAGACCTGCTGTAATTAATAGGTGTTAATATAATACCCATGTAAAAAAACGGTTTGTCAACACCACTCAAAAAGGAAAGTTAGATTTGCATAAAGTAATTTACAAAAACAAGAGGATATAGTATGTACAGTAAAGAACAGACATGGATGAGAAGAAATTATTTTATTATATTTTTTGGAACAATGGAGTTAAGATGACCAGGAATTGAACATTTATCATTTCTAACCTAAAAAATTATGATATACTGTATGATTATCTTGGTGGCCATGGTACCATGCCTTATTTTTTCTATAGGGTATTAAATTCAGTATTTGCGAATTCACGATTCGCAACGATTTCCAAGAATGCAACCATTGCGAATACAGGGGATAAGTGTGTGTGTGTGTGCTGTATATACACAGGTACAGTATACAGTATGTCATACAGTAATATCTACATTTAAATTTTCTCGGAAATGTGATCCCAAAACCTGAATTTTACGGAAAATTCAGAGAAAATTTTCCAATACCCGGAAAATTCTGGTGATGGGCGAGTTTTTTTCCGGGTTCGAGAGATGATGTAATGGGCAATTTCTGGAACTTGCGAGAAAAATTTTCCGTTGCCCGGAAAATTACGGGGATGAGGTTTTTTCCGGCTCTGAGAGAGTCGTCTCGTTACCAGGAAGTGCTCTGCACCAATTGTTTTGCCTAACAGATACCACTGTATTTGCAAATGACTGTTAAATATTAATTATATTAAATTTAAATTAGAAAATAATATCAGATGAATTATAAAAATTTCTCTTTATCCTTTCCAGACGAAAAAGTTTGCCGATGTGATCATTCCACGGGGAGCAGAGAACACAGGTGAGCCATGTTTTATGCTACCCACACAGTTCACTCGTATGATAAAAACCCGATAAAATTTTTGCCGTTGTCGTGGAAATTGTGTGCTAGACTTCTTCACCGACGTATCCGGTAACACAGTATCGTTTTGCAATTTCAGGCAGGTTTGTTTTATATTAATATGATTTGGTCTTTTTAGATCTAGAGAGTGATTAAGTCATCGTGATTGTCATTGATTTTGCATCTACCGTGCATTGGTTTGATTTTATTCACCATCATTTGTGTAAGTTAAAACTGATGATACTAAATGTGTTGAAGTATGAGTGATTTGGGTGTCATGTACAGGAGTCAGTAGTAAAGATATTCACCAGTCATGTTTAGTTTTATAATGCTTACAGTGATTACTTGAAATCTACATTTCCTCATTACTGTTAATAGACCCATTGGCTTTTGAAGTGTCTTTAATGATGATTGCCATACAAATGTTTATTAAACTTCACTTTTTCAGAAATTTATTGTCTTAATCTTATACAAGTACTGTAAATTCCATTGTATATGATACTGGATAAAAAAATCTGGTTTGTACCTACAGTATATGCTGTAATCTGCTTATTGTAGACTTTGTCAAGTAGTAGGCAGCTATCAAACAGGGAGGTACTACCACCTGGGAAGATATTGGAAGCATAATGTATTGTCTAATGGTAGACCCTGCTGCCATATGGCATCACAAAAATTGTGACCACGTTCCAGGAAGCTAATCTGACTTTCTGCCTCATTTACACACAATTGCAGGGTCTCAATTGTTTATCTTACTTCTACAACACAACATACATATATTGTTTCTCACTTTTTTTTTTTTTTTCATTTTTGTATTTCTTTATGGTTCTTTATTATTATTATAGCGTTATGATTATTATTAGCATTATTATTTAATTATTTTATTTTCAAATTTGTATTATAAATTTTATTTACTATGAATTATTATTATTATTATTATTATTACATTTTCGCCCCCCAGGCCCCGATGTGGGTCAGTGACCTGTGCCTGGGTGGGCTAATCCCTGTAAAAAAAAAAGACATCCACTGGTTTATGGAAAGGATATGATCTTAAAAAAGTTTGTCATGAAGCAGATTTTTCCTGGACTTCAAGTACTGTACAGTATATGATTGGAGATACTGGTTTGAGGGCTTGATAGATAACCGGACAGCTGGGTTGGGGCAGAGCTCATTGGATAATCAGGCTTGGTTGGGATGCATATTTGAATGTTCAATCTGCCATTACATATTCTTGGGGGATTTGGTGGGTCTATATATGATTTTCCAAGCTTAATCATTGGGCAGTAAAGTGCATTTTCAGTAGGAGTGGTCTGTGAATTCACCCTAGTCTAGCCAGTTATTAAAAGTATACAGTACATCAATGAGTCATTTTACATAATACACTAGGCAGCTTCAGGTTTTTTAAGCACCCAGGACTTATAAGTACAGTGGGTCTAACCTTTGCATTAAGATAGACACTTGGGGGTAGATGAGTAGGTAACTTATTCACCTTAGTACTGTACAGGTTAGTTGTACTGTATTATATTTTGTTATTGTAGAAACTAAAGACTTTTGGAGTTAAACCAGTGATTCTGCTGCACTGAGGGGGATGAGGTTTGGTGATTGCTTAGAGGCATTAGTTTATATGGTGTACAGCAGTGATCTTTTTTTTTTGTGGTATCTTTAAATTTTGAATGACAGAAGCTTAAAATTTTATTAAACACAAATATGCATTTCCTTCACTTCCCCAATTGTAAAGTTTGGTACCATTTACATCTGGGTGAATTGGGGGAGCCTCAGGTGTATTCAGGTCAAAGACTAACTTTTCAAACTGTTTTATTTATAGTGCACATTTATCCTGGTTGCCTGGGTAATGAGGATAAGGGATACTATTCAACTCTAATATTTAAATGCCGTTGGTGTTAATGGCCTGAAGCTTGTTTGTTGACATATTTTAATTAAAATTTCCATATATAATTTTTTTAAGTCTTGTTGCCAGTACCTATTATAATTTTTAATGATGTGGTGCATATGAAAATTGTAATGTTGATTTTAAGTAATTGTATGTCTAAACCAAGGAGATCAAGGTTATGTGTCTGATTTTCATTTTTAGTCACTCAAATTTTTTTTAGCTACATTTTAAGGCTTGGAATTTGTGTGCTGTTTTAAATGTGATTATTTTATACATTTGTGGACTAGAAGATTTGTACCTGAGGGAAACCATTGTCCAGTCTCAATGTAAATGTTTGTTATGTTAATGTTTGTCATTAACTAATCATTTGGAAACCCGGGGAACTGAATGGTGGGTATCCCCTCAGTCTGTACATTGTTTAATTTTTACCCTTCCTAAAGAATGCCACTAATTAGCCTGCCATACTCTTTGCTTGCCTTGCAGTTGCCATTAACCTAATAGTGCAGCATATTCAAGAGATTGTCAACGAACGCTCAGGAAATGGCTCCGGAAATGGGACTCACCAACGTTCTCGATCAAACTCTGACTCAAAAATCCGTTAAAAGAAACTTATAATGCAGACCAGCAAAGCTAGGATCAATCCTATATTTTTGTACTGATCAGAATGACCTTTGTCCACCAGATATATTTAGTGTGCATTTGTAGTGTAAAGAGATGAGGAGGTGGTGTTGTTCTCATGTTAAAACTGTTCGCAAGTGTTTGCATTATCAGTTTACTAAATAAGGTTTATTAGGGTTTTTTTTAATCAATATTATGGTTGATATGTGGTAACTATCTATAATGGCTATTGTAGAAGCTTTCTCTTTCCTTTCATTATACTGCATTAAAATTTGTTTTAATGGTAGTTAAGAAGAGGCCTCTCAGGATTTGTTCCCCCAGTGTCTTTTTTTTCCCCCAAGATTAGCAAATATTGGTGGTGTGGGATGGTAACTTCAGTGTTTGTTACTGATGGCAACTGTTTGATGTGAGCAACAGCAGAAGATGGAAAGAATGGTGAACTGATTGACACCTTCCTTAGGGAACTAGAAATTAGTAACACTGCATCTGTGTAGATCATTTTGATATCTTTAGACAGGCTTAATGAAGTTGCTGTGCTAAGAAGGCACTGAAAATGATATGAAATCACTCTACATACTAGTTAAGCACTGAAAAAGAGATTGCTTTTAATTACTGATGCTGGCAATTAAGCAGGATGCATAGATTTTTATTATTATTAATATTTTTATTCATATAACTTTTAGTATTATCGTTGTTATTATTATTATTATTACTACTACTACTACGTACTACATATTTGTTTGTGTGTATGTAAGAGAGAAAGTGAGTGAGTGTACAATATTTTAAGATTTAGAACTGGACACTAATAGTTTAGATGCAGTTTTGGATTTCATGCAAAAGTAACCCTGTCAAAGGAAAGGAGTACAGGTGATTGAGTGTTATGTATATTGTTATTGATTATGGAAATTCGTGATTGATAGACATCATTAATTGTTGAGGTTGATGAAAGTCAAGTGCATTAACACTAAGTCTGAATGCACATTTTAAGATATACAGTACAGTAGCTTGGAAGTTTAAAACCTTGAGAATATTGTAGTGTCTTAGGTTAAAATACCGTATATACTCGTGTGTACTTCGAGTTTTTAGGCAAAAAATTGGGGGTCGACCTCTACATGCGTAATAGTTTTTTTTAGGTTGAACCCGTGCATGATGGGAAGGGCGAGGAGCAACTTTTTGCTTCAGACATGAAAAATATTTACCATTTACTGCCAGTAAACAATGGAAACGTAAAATATGTACCAATTAGTAATGAAAACTTGTGCAGTTTCTTCAGCAGATGAAGCTCACCAACTTACAATAGGCTAAATTACCTTACAACGTGCTTTCAGTAGTCTATGTTGAAGTTCTTAGCACAGGCTAACTTATCATATCATATACGGTATCACAGTACTCATTGATCTACAAAAAATACCGGTAATAATAACCTTTTCAATATTTCACACTTAATATAATACCCGGTAATCCACTTCAACCTCCTATTGTTTACAACGATGCATGACGCACCACCAGCTGTTATGTATCAGCTAGACGGTACGCGTGTTTTTCTAATCGTTTTCAGTTAAAAAACTGTAACATCACATGTATATTTTACCTTAACTGTGCCTGAATGAATATATTCTCGGAAATAAATAGTAGTTTTGCTGAAACATGATGTATTTTAATGTAAAATAGGATAAAATACATGACGAAAACAAAAGATTTTACCTAACCTTCCGATGTTCAAGAGAAGTTACTCGTTTTTTTTAATAGTTTTTGGTTAGAATACTGTTATATTACAATGATATTCTATTCATACTGTGCGTGATATAATACATTCATGGAAAAGTAATATTTTTGCTGAAATGACGTATGTATTACAGTGGAAAGTGGGATAAAATCGTGACGAAAACAATGACTTTCGCTTTCTTTCGTTCAAAAGATGTTACCGTAATTGCTTTTCGAATGGTTTTCAGTTAAAAAACTGTTGTATTACAATAATATTCTCTCCTAATTGACTTGAATAAATACTACGATACTACATTTCTGAATATTTTCATTAAAATGCATCAAAATCATTTTCCTTGTCATCGTCTTCAGCACCAAACAGCTCCTCCCAGTCCTCTCCTTGAACAGGGCTAGAGGGTACGTGTTTTTCTAATCGTTTTCAGTTAAAAAACTGTTACATCACACGTATATTTTACCTAAACTGCGCCTGAATGAATATATTCTTGGAAATAAATAGTAGTTTTGCTGAAACGTGATATATTTCAATGTAAAATAGGATAAAATACATGACGAAAACAAAAGACTTTACCTAAGCTTCTGATGTTCTTGAGATGTTACTCGTTTTTTTAATAGTTTTCGGTTAAAATAATGTTATATTACAATGATATTCTATTCATACTGTGCTTGATATAATACGTTCACGGAAATGTAATATTTTTGCTGAAATGACGTATGTATTACAGTGGAAAGT